AATAATATGCACCTTCTGATTGAAGTACAAGGCATTTTAGGCATGGGAGTTTAATTACTACAAATATAATCATCTGTTTGGGCTTCTGTTTGCTTCTCTACAATGAGCAAGGTGTCAGTTATCAGTGACATACATCTTAGCTAATGTGTTCTGAGAGATATTAAAAAAATCCTTGGTGATTAGCTTTTCTTTAACATATGCTACAGTAATAGATATTAAAATGCATGCTAATATAGTTAAAGACATGTAATTATAACTTTTGTTTTGAAATGTATGCCAGACGGGCAATCTGCTGGGTTTAGACAACATGTAATGGCAGGACATGCCATTTTAAAATTTTATGGTCATTGATCAAGCTCTTTTTTGCCTCCTTTCTACACTCCTTTTGATGTAACCAAAGCAAATTGGATTGTCTGACATGAACTGATATAACACAGAAGGGAGAAAACCGCAGGAAGGAAACTATATTGATGATCTGCTTGATTACTGACGGTTTTTTTTTTTTAGATCACTAGAAAGTCATATTCTAGAAAAGAATGACTTGCTGAATTCCTGTGCTTCATTGCCACCAAGAAAGGATTACCATAGCAACAGGGAAAGACTATGCATTGTAAGAATACTCACAAGCTGAACAAGATAATGGTTTAAGATAATGTCCCAGTAGCATGGCAAAATGTCAGCCAGGAGGTGTGAAGGAAGGGAAGTGGCATTTTCGAAACGACAAAAGAAATTTTAAAAGAACTGATGTTGTAAATTTCAAATATATGTGAATTCAAGGCTAATGTAAAGTGCAAAACAATGAATCAAGAAGCTGTATGGTCCATTTTTCTGGGGAGCAAATCAACAGGTTTTCTTATTGATAAATCCCAGAACTTTTTTTTCTACGGGTCAGCTGCAAGTGACTGATGTGTGTCTTTATGATTTTTCCTTTAGCCCCTCTGTTAGGGCATCCAAAGTGTTTTGCAGCTAGCAGCAGATGTCCACGCAGTAACTACATAGAAGAGTTTAAGGCAAACATTTCATGTAGGTCACCCATCTGGCAGAACCTGCTTAACATCTAGTAATTATCCAGAAGGTCTGATCCAGCACTGCCGTTTAGAGGTGAAAGGATCATTACATATTTGCCTCCTGCTGTATCTATTTAAGACACTTATCTTTGATCCCCTCCTACAACATTTTTCAATCCTCAAAGTTCAATTCTACAGTATTTGAGAAGCAAAGCTATAAATCTACACTTAAACTCAAAATGTGAATCAAGATGAGTGCAGAGTACGTCACTGAATGAGATTTAAACCATATGACACCTGCCACAAATTTCTTCCTGATTTTCTCTTTTCACTACAAACCATCCGTCCTCTCATGTTTTGTTAAGATCTATTTAAAACGAAATACGTCACAGAACAATAACAATTACAGATAAAAACATGTATGAAATGAGAAATCCCGTTCCTAGTAACTGCTGCTTTATAAGCCATGTTCTTTGCAACTGCTGCTTTTTTTTTTTTTTTTTTTTTTTTTTTTTTTTTGCTTTAGCACCACTAGAAGTGTTTCTGTGAATTTCAAAAGAGCCTTTTGTCTTTGCCCCTTCAGCCATCTTAGTGGAGTAAATTCACACTGAGTGTACAGAGACTATTCCTGCTCTGGAGCTAGTGGGAACCATTACTTCCACCTCTGATTTTTCCAACTTCTCTTTCAACACAATTTGTGTTAGAAAGTCTTCGAGTGGTGTTTGGAAAACATAAAAAATCCTCAGTGCAAACTGCCAATTTTCTAATGCAAAGTGACACTAAAACCAAACATTTTCATTTACCAGCCATCAAGATCATCTGTCTGTGAGGTTGCACAGTCTACAGAATATGTATTTCTCCTGAGACTGAAACAGAGCTAGCTGTGTCAGACCACCACAGATACTTTTACAGAGACTGAGTTGTTCTTACCTGATACCGAAAAATGAGTTGCTGGCAATACCTCCTCTTTGTATCATGGAAAGTCAGGAATTGTTCACCCACACCTGAATGCCCTTTCACTCCTGCCCCAGTGAAATACCATTTGCTTGCTGTGAAATTTCTTTGCACTGTAACTCACCCTGACAATGTTGCTGCCTTCAGTGTACAGCAGTCCCTTACTAGATGTCTTTAAAGCAATATGATTTTTTCCCCTTAACTGCTGCGGAGCACTGGAGAGGACAAGAGGAGGTGTCCCTAGCTTCCAGTCCTACTAAAGCTTCTCATCATTAAAATGAAAGGGGGTCACTCACACTCTGGCTGTCCATGACTGAAACAGTCATGTCAAGCCCAGCTATGGCAATGGTATTATTTTTGCTGGGCAGAATTTAACAGACAGCTTGAGCCAACCTAATTGTATCCTGTATATTCCCTGATACCCTTCACACTGGCTCCATAAGCGAGTACTACAATTAATCCAGAAGAAAATATATAAATTTCTAATCTGTCAGGTGAACAAAGTTTAATCAACTCAGCAGAAGTTTCAAAGATGAGACTGAGCCAACACAAGTGTAGTAGCACATGGCAAGGACAAATAGGACCTCCCTCTTTTAACATCAGGAGCTACTAGGAACAGTTCAACTATCTTGATTAAATCCCACCATAGCATTTTACTAGCTTGCAGTCAAATTATCTGTAGGAAAAAGAAACCAATGAAAATAAGCAACCAAACCCATTAGTTGCACAAGATTCACAGTAACAGTGCATCCTCAAGAAGTTTATGGCACACTTTTAAAAGACATGAGTCAGTGAGGTATCCTTCAGTAAATGTGCTTTTATGGAGACAGGAGCATGGAACATAACCTTCAGGTATAAACTGAACTATCAGTTTCAGAGAAGAAAGGGACTACTAATTTGTGATGAAACAATTCCTGTAGGAGATTGCATGTTATAAAGAGGGGAAAAGACATACTGAAATCTTACAATGGCATGGCAATAAGGGAATAACAGGTTTTAGAGCATGATACTACTTGTATAGATGTTTGGGACACTCAGACCTAGAATATCTGCCTCTCCTTAGAAACCTCTGTCTTACTTCTCTACTGAAGAAGAGCTGAAAGGAAATGCCGCAAGGAGTTGTTTGACATTGCAAGAAAAAAATATCCAAACCCCAAAGGTGTGATCTTGGCACACACTTCTAAGGAAGAGACATATATCTGTCCACCCTCACATAAAAACTGGCAGATAGATGCATCCTCGAACACAACAGGAAAAGACTAATTGGTATCTAAACCATTATCAAGTAATTTTTTCCTCTAGCATTTTAATTTTACACCCTTGTAAACCCATCAACTTTGCCAGAACAGGTTCTGATTTACACCACTACAAGTGAAAACAGAATGAGGACAAAATACAAGAGAGAGGTCAATGTACACCTGACCCTATAAGTCTAAAGGGAACAAATTTTTTTTTTTTTAAAGTATTTATCTGACACCTAAGAAGCAAAATGGAAAGAAACCCTCAAAATTGAGGTACAATGTATACTTTCAGACTGTCAGACACAAAGCAGGATAAGATTGCTGGGATCAGCAAATTGTTCTGGCTTTCCAGCATGAAAAGCATGAGATGAATGCAGTCATGACTAATGGTCTTTCCCATTAAACATGGCCTGAGGAAAGCAAACATTTCAGAAAACAAATCAGCACTTTATTTAAATATATTTATGCCTAAAATTAGATTTACTTTTTTTTTGTATGAAGCTGACTACAATCTACTTACTTATTGGGAATACTGCATAAGAAATGCTACTGTACCTTATTTATCTGTGCTTAGAACCTTTTGCTGACTACATACCCAATACTATGGAGAAAGTGCTGTCGCAGCAGCTAGGTCAAAACTCAACATTCAAAGTGTAAGAGTTACAGAAAAGAAAAATGAAGTAGAATATTAAAAAAAGGCAAGGAAAATATCCTGTAACTGCATTTAGAAGTGGTGGAAAATCTCTTGTGATACCAGCTTTGCATTTCATACCGTGATTATAGACCTACAGTCATCTATCAATCACATCCACTCTGTTTTGTTTTTCCTTACAGAGGGTGGATATATTTCTTCTCTGAAGTGCTCTGCTGAGCTAGCATGGCATGCATCCCAGCTTACCTGAGTCTAAGTGCCACGGATCGGTAGCGGCTGACATTGGTGGGATGGTGAGTGGAGATGCTCCACAGTTGGATTCCACCAGTTCTCCTTGGATGTGGACGTGAGATGAGGTGTTGGTAGGTCTCAGAGCTGCTTTGAGTGGAGCAATCTGGTTGAACTGTACTCTTGATAGGCAGCCAGTGAATCCTGGAGTGTTGTATTTATATATGTCTTGGTCAATCTTCCCAATTTCTATGGGAAAATAAAGAGGGAAAAAAACCCAAGAAGATTCATCAAAATAATTCACTGCTTTGGAAAGCACGGTTGTTCTGAACACTTGATTCCCAGAGCTCAGTTCCCAAGTGTCTCTCTCTCAGGAGACTGAAAACATGTCAGACCCTGCCAGGTTTCTTTACATTTCATTACAGATGGAAACCTTCAGGCCTTGCTGTGTCTTTGTTTTACTGCTATGCTATCATTAAAATTAAAGGCTAGCATGAAGGAGTCATCAAAGAACAAAAGGCCGGGGAAAAAAAATCTTTTCCCCAAGAAGAGGTGGCAAAAAAGAAGGTCATTGCCAGCATCCCCTCCCCTCACCCTGACCCACTGCCCTCAGTTCCTCTTGGTGGACCAGGACTACTCCTGTTCACTCCTGCCCCGCTCCTGTCTCCTTGCCAAGAGACCAAGTGCCCTTTGGCCTGAGGTGGAAAACCACCCCTCTCCAGGCTCCTTCCTTCCTTCTCCTGGCAGTGGCGAGACATGGCCGGAGCCCACCCACCCCTGCTGCAGGCTGAGGAGCATCATGCACGCTCCTGCACCTCCACAACAGGGCCTACACTGGCTGAGAGACTGTCACAAGTCAGCCATTTTACAACCTCCCTGCTGGGGGCTGGCAGGCCAGCTGGCATCCAGGAGCAGAGTACAGGGTTCTGACATTGCCCTCTGAGACAGCTGCCGTCCCTCGGAGTCACCCCACGAGTAGATTTCTCCCTTCTAAAACACCAGTTAAAATGATCCCAAAATGGTAGCCATAAACTACAGCATAAGCCCTTACTACCCAGGAACTTGCAGGCTGCTCACGGCTGTTTTAATACTGCCGGGACCTGTTGTGACAGCCTGAGTCACACCGAAACAAAACCAGCACTCTGTCAGCTGGCTGCGTTAGAGGGGGTATTAACATTTCAAAGCCTCGACGCAGTATCTAATGTAATATTTACACGGCAGTGTGGAATTTGGCTTCCTTTCTTCTGTGGTAGCACAGTGTAAATGAAAATCACAACATGGCAGCATCACGTTTGTGCTGTACCAGCGAGTATTGCTCCAGAGACACCGAGACACTTCAAACTGCCTTTCCCTGGGTCAGCAGGGACAGGAGTTAATGTCTGGCTCTTGAAGCCCACTGAGCCAAGCAAAGCAAAAGATTGTATCCCAGGGATAGAGAGCAGGGAGTAGCCCTAGGTTGTTCAAAGGCAAGTTTTTCAGATAGGAACAAGGAGAAGAGCTTGAAGAATGGTGTTTCTGGAAAAAATGTATATAAAAGACAAGATACCATCATAAAAAAAGAAAGGGTTGTCTTGAGAGGTGTGAGGAGAAAGAAGGAATTTCATTGCAAGAGTTTGGGGAAGAACTGGGAACCAAAACCATGCCTGGGTTTGAGTTTTGCTACCCAAACAATCAGATTAGAGTTATTAGAAAATGCATTACAAACCTTTTGATGAATCTGTGTTCAGTCCTAACCAACCTAGGATCAATTATATGAGGTCTGAGCTGCTGACTGGGCTCCCTAAAAACTACCATGATATATATGTCAGTGCTGTTCCTAACAGTACTGAGGGCTTTGCATCAGAGATACATACAAGGAATTTAAACGCTACAAACCAAGCATTTCACATATGCTTTTTGGGGGAGGTTTGTACCTTGTGTTGGGTTTGTGTGTGGCAGGGTTTTAGCGGGGGAGGGGGCTACAAAGGTGGCTCTGGTCAGAAGCTTCTTGAAGCTCCCCTGGTCAGACCCGCCTCTGGACAAGGCCGATGTGATGGTGATACATATTTAAGACAGGGGAACCAGAGAGGAAAAGGAGTTGTGAGAGAGATACCTCTGCAAACACTGAGGTCAGTGGAAGAAAGGAGGAGGAAGAGAAGGGGGCAGGTGTGCTGGAGCAGAGACTCCCCCGCAGCCCGTGGTGAGAGGTCAGGCTGTCCCCTTGCAGCCCAAGGAGGTCACTGGTGGAGCAGAGACCCTCCTGTACACCACGGAGAACCCCACGCTGGAGAAGTTGGTTGCACGTGAAGAAGGCTGGGACTCTCCGCACCGGAGCAGTTCATCACTAGGAGGACTGCAGCCCATGAGAGAGACCCACGCTGGAGCAGTTCATGAAGAGCTATAGGAAGAACTCATGTCAGATAAAGTTCATGTAGGACTGTCTCCTGTGAGAGGGATTCCATACTGGAGTAGGGAAAAAGTGAGAGGAGTCTTCCTTCCAAGGAGAAAGGACCAGCAGAAACAATATGTGATGAACTGACTGCAAACCTCATCCCCTGTCCCCCTGCACTGCTGGTGGGGAGGCGATAGAGAAATCGGGAGCAAAGCTGAGCCTCGGAAGAAGGGAGGGGTGGGGCGAAGGTGTTTTTTGGATGTGGTGGCATTTTACTCTGATTGGTAAATTGTTGGTGGTAGTGGTGTTCAAATTAAATTGACGTTCTTTCTCTTTCCCAGTCGAGTCTGTATTTTACCAGTGACCATAAAGAGTGAGTCATCCCTCCCTGTCCACATCTTGATTCCCCAGCCTTTTGTTTTATTTTCTTCTCCCCATCCCTGAGGGGGAAGGAGTGAGAGAGCAGCTGTGTGGTGCTCAGTTGCCCTCTGGGCTTACACCATGACACCCATTAAACATGAAGTGGGGGAAAACTGGTGGAAACTGGACAAATTTTGAGGATGATTAAAACAACTTTTTGGTTTTCACACAGAATGAAACTGTAGCTATTCTGTCTCTGCAACCATATTAGAATGATAAGCACAATATTCATGTGTGTGTGTGTGTGTGTCCCCTAGCATGAGGACAAAAAAGGAAGATGCACAATCTGAAAATTACCTGCATTAGATCCTTACGTGATTTGCTATACAAGAACAGATTTTTTCTATTCACCGCATTTCCCTTCCCTTCTCGTTTGAGAATGTCCTTTCTCTGCTACTGCTTATCCAGCCTGTATCAATATTACAGCCTCATTTCACAAGCTGTCAGTGGCTGTCACTGCAGCAATGTGGAAACATGTTCAGGCCACAGCTAGACTAGCTTAAATGCATTAAAACCATTGTATTAGTCACGTGGGTCTTTCATTCAGCTCTTTCAGAAAGTGGCTTGACTGAACAGTTAGCATCATCTCCTTCAAAAATTTGATAGCAAGTAAAAAAACACCCACACGCATCCACACTTTCCATAGTTAGTAGAAAAGCTGTACAAAAGCCAGAGTTTATGCATCTGAATGCTGCTGGTAGACCATATCACTCAGACAAGGTATCTATCTGACCACAATATTCACTGTCTCTTGCTTCAATAAAATATTCATGGTATATTCGGTGAATAGCGGCAATTTCGAGTAATCATTATAATCTAAGGAACAATTAGAAGACTTTCTCTTTAAACACTGTAACCACTGTCAATAGCAGTTTCGTGGTTACCTTTTTTTCACATTTTTATATATTCTGTGGAACTTCATGCAGCAATGCTAATAGCCTCCCACTCACAATCCTGAATGACAAGAACATAAATCCATGAATATGATTGTGCTACTTTAGCAGCTTCAGCACCATTCTTCTCTAACTCCATGAATCAGTGATGGATACTAGATCCTGACAGAATTAAAGAAAAAAACCCCCAAACCCTAACAAGGCACCTTGCTGGAGACCTGCATTTTTGTTTAAAACTACACAATTTATGGTTGTGCAGGTCGCTTCATGCAAATTTACCACCAGCTTGCTTCACATCAGTGCTGAAACAAGATGGATCGACTTCTATGACTGTGAACATGTTCCTTCGTGCGTGCGTCCCATGGGGCTCAGCACACCGACACTCTCTGATGTTAGGCCATTATACTTTGCCTCCCTGTGTATTTGAGCCTGCTATAAACCCATCCCAGGAGAGTGTAATGATTACATAATGAAATATGCCTTTGTTGTCATGACTAAAATTCAATTTGCTCCCCATAACAAAGAGGGGAGAAAAAGAAAAGATGATGACATTCACATTATTTAAAAAAGGCAAATGTACAATGCAACTGCTTTGTATTGTTCTATTTTTCAGCACATAAGCTAGTGAAAAGTCATATAAATATTGCAGTATATAGTATCATCATTACCTAATAGCAGCTTAGTATTGCTGCTTTCAGATCTGATGTAGCAATCTTCTGCTGGAACCCTAGCACAAGCATTTCTGTAATTAAAGTCGTCCAAAAATACCACTTATAGGCCTTTTTTTTAACTTCAGCTAGCTTTAACCATTTGCTCCCTTGACCACATAACTGGATGAAGACCATGATTACAAGACAAAGACCATTCAGGTGAACCCATTCCAGCACAGATGCACTGCAGTATATAAATCCTTAACACTGAACATTCACACAGTAACTACACAACTGCCTACTCAGATTACTTAAACATTTTTAAATTTTATATAACTAGTATACAGTATACTAAGAACCTCACAGATGTTGCCCCATGTCTTGTGTGTTATTCACTGAAGATACACTTAACGTCAGTTACTTGTTATTTATGTTTTGTTACTTCTTTAACAGTAAAAATATATAGGAACTTAATCCTCAGTTACTTGTTTTGATTTCAGGGCTTATTTCCCACAGCTGTGGCAGAAACATGCAACACAGTGATGAAAATAATGCTGTATCTCCATTGAAAATTATGTGCTACTACTGAAGCAGCTCTTTTCCACCTACATGAAAAGATATAAAGAACATCTATTTTCAAGCATGCCTGTGACAAAAGGCACCACCATTAATGAGTACCCAACAAGTTGAAATTCTTTATTCTATGAATCTAGATGAAAACAAGCAAAAATAAATCATATAGATGAAAAAAATTGTGGCTGGACCTGTGCATAAGTAACAAATGTACAAGTAGCACATAAACAATACTAATCAGTGTAATTAGGTTATCTGGTTTTTAAGCCTTTTTGCCCTTACTACATTAACTGTAGATGCAGAGTTGTGGCCCCTGCCTAGACACTACTGCAAGACAAACAA